CTCAATTTGCCAGCAAATTTGGAAAACGCAACAGTGGCCACAGGATTGGAAAAGGTCAGTATACATTCCAATCCCAAAGAAGGGCAATGCCAAGGAATGTTCAAACTATTGCACAATTGCACTCATTTCACACGCTAGCAAGGTCATGCTCAAGATCCTACAAGCTAGGCTTCAACAGTACGTGGATAGAGAACTGCCAGAAGTACAAGCTGGGTTTCGAAGAGGTAGAGGAACTAGAGATCAAATTGCCAACATTCACTGGATTATGGAGAAAGCAAGAGAGTACCAGAAAAACATCTACTTTTGCTTCATTGACTATGCTAAAGCCTTTGACTGTGTGGATCACAACAAACTACGGCAGGTCCTTAAAGAGATGGGAGTACCAGACCACCTCACATGTCTCTTGAGAAACCTGTATAAGGGTCAAGAAGCAACAGTTAGAACCGGATATGGAACAACTGATTGGTTTAGCATAGGAAAAGGAGTACGACAAGGATGTATATTGTCACCTTGGTTATTTAATATATATGCAGAGGACATCATGCGAAATGCTGGCCTGGATGATAAAAAGTAGAGACATCTCCCTGCCAACAAAAGTCCGCATAGTCAAAGCAATGGTATTCCCAGTGGTCATGTATGGCTGCGAGAGTTGGACTATAAGGAAGGCCGAGCACCGAAGAATAGATTCTTTTGAACTATGGTGCTGGAGAAGACTCTTGAGAGTCCCTTGGACTGCAAGAAGATCGAATTAGTCAATCCTAAAAGAAATCAACCCTGCCTGTTCCCTGGAAGGCCAGATAATGAAACTGAAGCTCAAAGACTTTGGCCACCAAATGAGAAGGGAGCACTCACTGGAGAAGACCCTGATGCTGGGAAAGCTTGAAGGTCAAAGACGACGGGGACAGCGAAGGATGAGATGGTTAGACAGTGTCATAGATGCAACGAACATGAAATTGAGCCAACTTCAGAGGGCGGCGGAAGACAGGAAAGCCTGGCGTGATCTGGTCCATGGGGTCGCGAAGAGTCGGACTCGACTGTGCGACTGAACAACAACAATTCCCCATTACTATGTATGGGAGTGAAAGTTAGACAAGGAAGAAAGCTAACAGGATGTAAATTGAGTCATTTGAAATGTGGTAGTGCAGGAGAATTTTACAGGTACCGTGGACCGCCAAAAAGACAAACAAGTGGGTTCTAGGCTAAATCAAGCCTGAACTCTCCCTAGAAGCTGAAAGGACCAAACTGAGGCTCTACTGTACTTTGGTGACCTTATGAGAACACATCTCAGTGACAAAGACAATAATGCCAGGAAAACTGAAGGCAATTAGGAAAAGAGGAAGACCACAACATGAGACGGATTGACTCAGTCAAGGAAGCCATGGCCCTCAGTTTGCAAGACCTGGGCAAGGCTGTTAATAATAGGACATCTTGGAGGTCATTAATTCTTAGGGTCACCATAAGTCAGAAGCGACTTGATGGAACTTAACACATATGCAGGCTTTCTGTAGTCATTGAAATTAAGAGTGTAGGGGTACTCCTGGACCCAGCGTTGTTAATGGATAAAAAAATGGATATGGTGTCAGGACTCAGGAGGTGCCTTCTTTCACTTACGTCTAGATCATAAACTGGCCTGTACCTTGATTCTGCTGACCTAGCTACACTGGTCTATGCATACTATAACCTCAGATTGGACTACTGTAGGGCACTCTACATGGGACTGCCTTGGAAGACCTCTCAGAAGCTCCAGTAGATACCAAGTGTGGCAACAAGGCTCTTCTCTGGGGTGAGATGCTTGGAAAAACATAACTCCAGTGTTGCATCAACTGTTTGCTTCTGGAACTGGTTCAGAGTGCTGGGTATTACCTTTAAGGCCATTCACAGCCTACAGCACTCATATTTATCAAGCCACATTTCCCTCTGTACTGCACTGCACCATTTACAGTCTTCATGCAACCTCCACCTTAAGGTGCCCTCCCTTAGGACTGTCCATATAACCAGGGGTCGTTTCCTGCAGGAACGCACAGGAGTGGAGCTCCGGCAGTAAAGAGCCCAGGGAGCGGGCACATGCAACAAGCCCCGCCCCCTGCTCCCAGCAGCCCTGGGTCACGAGGAGCACAAGGATCTGTGCATCCCCCCCCCCATAGCTAGCAATCCAAAACAGTCGAGTGGAGCCTGAGGAGTGGGTGTTGCCTTCTGACACACTTCCGGTGATACCAGAGGGTGTGGCATATGCAAATAAGTTATGCTAATGAGTTTGCTAATGAGCTCCTGCATGACCCCTGCATATAACTACAGTGAAATCACAGGCCCAGTGCTTTGGAATGGCCCACCAGAGTTGGTGAGGGAGGTGTTTACACTGGCAACATTAAGGAAAGCATGTAAGACAGTTGTATGCCAGAGAGCACTTGGTAAGAGTAAATTAGCAGATTTGGTTGTGCTTATTCTATTCCCGTATGCTTGAAATGTTGATTGCTTTCTAATGTCTAATTTGTGTATTTTAATCTGTGTTTTAATTTTGTTAATTGGACTATTGTAATTTATGTCCTGCAACCTGATTGCTGCATTGTTAACCTTGAATTCGCGGAGATAAGGTGAAAGTGAAATGTTTTAAATAAATAAATCCAGTTAACAAGCATGTGTTTAGATTTTAAACAAAGGCTGCTCCCATTGTTGACTGTTGCTCTTTGTTATATGAGGATTTCCAGCTGTGTTGTTAGTCAATGAAATGCTGAGCAACTTTTATTATCAACATCTATATATCTAATAGCCAAGTTGCCCCCTCCATGCGGATATCTAAATCTGCACATCGGGGGCACTTGGGGAGGCAGAGAGATTTTCCTGCACACTTGGAGCAGTCCCCAGGTGTGCAGAAAAATCAAAAAAAGTTGGGAAAATATAAGGGGGATACTTAAACCCCCCTAAAAGAGCGTGCCCTGTGCATGTACAGAGAACACTCTGGCTGTTGGGGAAACCCCCTCAAGCCTCACCACCAGAGCTGGGGGGGAGGAGATTGGTGGGCCCGGCGGCTGGAAGCCGCTCAGGCCTCTCCACCGGAGCCGGGGGGGGGAAGCTTACCTGTGGCTGCTTCCTCTTCAGCCCTGAGGTCTTCCTGCTTCTGGGAGCCGGGGAGGGGAATACTCCCTCCCCCGCGAGTATTGCGGGTCCCTCGTCTTGTATATATTATTGGCCATGAAGTATTTGGAGTAATTCCTTGCGATGTTGCTGTTTCATTATGGAAATCACCTCCCTTACACCAGTGACCTCCCTGACAAACTTATAAAATGGTTCTACTTTATCATAAGCAACAAAAATGGCACATTGAACCGATTCTTCAGAGGAGCTTGGAAATGCTTTGTGTTTTAGTAGAGTGTGGTGATTTTGGTCTTTTAAGCCCTAAGCTCTTCTTGAGAGCGGTAACTAGAGATGCCCGCCTCCAGGTGGACCTGGGGATCCCCTGGAATTACAGCTCATCTCCAGACTACAGAGATCAGTTCCCCTGGAGAAAATGGATGCTTTGGAGGTTGGATTATGTGGCAATGTACGCCCACGGAGGTCCCTGTCCTCTCCAGGCCTCCACTCCCAAATCTCCAGGAGTTTCCAACCCTGGAGCTGGCAAATCTCCCCTCCTCCACCTCCCACTGGCAGGAAGGAGGGACCCGGCAAACCTAGCGGTGACTGAAGGGTAGCTCTTAATATAGTAGGATCGTGAAACTGTAGGTCAAAGCTTGAGAACAGCCAGTAGCCGACAAGACATCAGACTGATGTGCAAAATAAACCCATCATTTTCATTCAACCCAAAATGATCTTTTTATACAACAGAACCCAGTCCGGTTTTTGATGTCCGTATTAAAAACTACAACACAACAGCAGTACTTCTGATCTGGAATAACACCGATGCGGCTCGACATGGGTACATGTACGCAATAGTGACCGGAGGACGAGAGGTCAAAACAGTCAGAGATACCACTGCGACCGTTGGCGAATTAGAACCTGGTACTAATTACACATTCGAAATATATTCAGAAGCAGGAGACGGTGAAACTAGAGGTGATCCAGTTAGTACAAGCATCTATACAAGTGAGCCTGAATTTTTTTTCCCGTACGAAATGCGAGCTTTCATTGTTGTATGTTCAGATACATTTAAAAAAAACAACAAAAAACCAAGATACAGTGCAGTCGAGTACGTATTGGCTCATTTTACAGAATAATCTATAAAATGCCATTCATTGAGACAAGGGAGAGGGCAGCTGTTAACGTTTTCCTTTCCCTTCCCTAGTGCAGTGGTGCCCGAGAGCTAAGATTTGGAGGGAAAATGTGTGCTTTTATCCTTCGGCCTCCCTGGTTAAAATTTGCCTCCATTTGTTAAAACTGACCCCTGTTTATAACTCTAGTAGAGTGTATCTGTGGATCGGACTGGATCAGGCTTGCACCTAGCAGTAGAAGGTTTCTCCAAATCGTATGTTCCACAGGCTTGAAACAGTTTGTGGCTTATGGGGGCAACCAGGTAGTCAAGAATGTTACGAAGTCTCTTCAGTCTTCTTTCATGCTTGTCTGTCACAAGCAGTGATGGAATCGCTGCTAGCTGTATTCCTGAGTTTCCTATCCGTGCCTACTTTCACAAGATCTGAAATACTGGGGTGATAAATTTCCCCTGCTTAGTAGAATTGGAGTCTAATAAGTGAAGGTGCAAAAGGGAGTTTTCCAGTTGCATTGCCGTCCCGCAGAGTTCCACCTTTCTGACTTTGGAGGACTCAGGAGGGTGTACCTCTCCTTGTGATGGCACTGTCTGCCTGTCTCTCAGATATCCAGGAGACCAGTATCTTTTTTGGATTCCCCAATGGCTTTTGGCGTTCAGTCATGCCGGCCACATGACCACGGAAATGTCTTCGGACAGCGCTGGCTCTTCGCCTTGGAAACGGAGATGAGCACCGCAACCCTAGAGTCGGATTCAACTGGCTTTCGAGCAAGGGAAGCCTTTACCTTTAATGGCTTTTGAGCAGGCAGCATCCCGGGGGTTTTCTGCTCTGGAAAAAGTAGCAGCTGCAACTGTCCTTCCTCTCATTAGGGACATAACCTGGTGGTAGAGCATAGCCTCAGAGCATGGCCTTGGAGAAAGATTAAATCACACATCAGGTCAGGGGTGCCCTTTAATTGTGAATAACATGCCCTTTTTTGTTTTTCTCCCTTTCCCCTGAATTTATCACTGCCTTTCACCTTGCCTTGGTGTGGTAGAGCTTGGCCGCCTCCTGCGCCGGGAGCATTGCCACGCCACCGGCACACCCTGGCCCGGCCACGGCACCCGCCGTCCACCAGAGCCCCCTCGGCGCTCGCTCCGGGACTGCTGCAAGCGCGCCGCCCAGCCTCACCAGCTCCACCGCGGCTGCATGTTCCCCCCGTGCCCGTCGGGCCAGCCCAAGGCAACCGCCTGCCTCTGTCCAAGCGCAAGCCGCGCTCCCCTTAGCGGCCGGAAGCAGGGGGTGGGGCTTTGTCATGTGCCCCGCCCCCGCACCTCACCTGGGGGAACGGCAATCCCCCGCGATCCCCCCCGAAATGACCTCTGCTTGTATCTGTGCTGAGCCTGTATCATGAAAGGAGCTGCAATGGTACATTTTACTGTTTTAAGTCAGCTTGCTAATTAATTCATAGGTGGGGTTACATAGAATATTGTGCACTGCATTTTACAAAATAATTTCTAACTGTTCTTGTGTGTGTGTGTGTTTTTAAACCACAACAGTTCCTAGTTCTGTCTTCAACATCACAGCAACGGATATCAGCTCGGTAGCAGTCAGTTTATCGTGGGTAAACATGGATATAGCTTCTCACACATACTCCTACAGAATACACATTAGTAGAGAAAATGGTACTTACGAGGACGATACAAGCCGAAGCACCCATGCTACAGTTTCACAGTTAATGCCTGGTGTTAATTATACATTCAACATATACTCAGTTGCAGCAGATAACACAACTGAAGGGACTCCAGACAGCATAAGCCTTTTTACAAGTAAGTCAATTAAATGAATATCTTTCTCTTAGAGTCAGACTCTATCCCAGGAGTGTTTATTCCTTCTGGAACTAAATTGTTGCTTTTCACAGCTAACAAAGATGATTGAAGGGCTTGTTTGCAAATGTTAGATCAAGGCCATGGAACGTAGGGATATTTTAGTTCTTATCAGTTTCTGATTGTGCTTTTTTCCGTGTTGGAGGATAGACCTGTACATTCTTAAGATGACATCAGGGTCTGTGTGTGCTTTGTTTTGGGGTAGATTTTGCGTTTCAAATAAAGTGAGATTTTGCTACAGGTTGGGTTTTTTTTACTTTATTTCCATTTCTATTTTAATGTGTAAACTGGGCAGAAATGTAGCGAGCTCCAAAGTGAAGTGTTGAAGATGATCTTTTATTAATTGCAGGGTAGTATAAAAAGGACTAACATACTTTTTCATGTTTTTGAACAGAACCCAGTGCTGTTTCTAGCATCACTGTTAAAAATATCAGCACCATGGAAGTAATTTTAAGTTGGAGTATTAAAGATGCAGCTGCTTCTGGATACACTTACAGAATATACGTAGAGAATGTAAATTTTACTGGTGAGAACTTCACTGAGACAACCTCATTCAAAACTGTTTCCATTCAGAAGTTAAAGCCAGGCACCTCTTATAACTTCTCAGTCTTTGCACAAGTGAATAATGGCAAAACTGAAGGACACTCCAGCAGCCTATCTGTCTGCACAGGTAAACATCAAAGTTGAAGTAAATTTGTTTATGGTAGAGCAAACAGAATTATCTGATAATGTATTGATTCAGGAATGAAAAAGGGAATGTGGAAGGCCTGCTGCTGGTGGTCCTGTCCAGGGGTCTTTTCGTAGAAAAAGAGCTGCAGGAGCTTATTAGCATACGGTATGCTAATGAGCTACTAGGCTATTAACATATTAGCTCATTAGCATATGCAACGCCCCCTGACATCACCGGAAGTGATGGCAGAAGGGAAAGCAGGGGGGGGGAGAGGCATCCTCAAAAGCCTCCCCTTCCCTTCCCCAGCCGTGGAGGGGGGGAAGCGAAGAGAGAAGGGGTTTAAAGTTTAAACCCCTTCTCACTAGAGTTGGGCCGCAGAAGGAGGAAAGAAGAAAGGAAAGAGAGAGATAGAGTAGAGAGAAGGAACAAAGGAAGGAAAGAGTTAGGAAAGAGGAAAAGAAAGAAGGAAAGAAGGAGGGAAAGAAAGAGAGAGAAGGGAAGAAAGAGGGAAAGGAAAGAAGAAGGAAAAGAGAGGAAGGAAGAGAGAAGGAAAAGAGAGGAAGAAAAGGAGGGAAAGAAAAGTAAAGGGCAAGAAAAGGAGGGAAAGAAAAAGGGCAAAGAGATGGGGGGAGGCTCTCCCACCCCCCACTCCCCCAATCAAGCCTCCGCCACCCCCCGCGGATCCCTCACTTACCCCGAGAGGTGGCGGGGAGCGTCTTCTGGCCTCCCCCAGACCGCAGCACTCCGGCGCGGGCCCCAGAAAGGCAGCAACGGGCCTCCCTGGGGCCGTAGTGCTCCAGCACTGGCCCGGGGAGGTGGCCTCCTCTGACCTAACTGGGGCCCGCAGTACTTCAGCACGGGCCCTGCGGCAGCAACAGGCCTCCTGGGGCCTCCCTGGGGCTGCAGTGCTCCAGTGCGGGCCCCAGGGAGGTGGCGACGGGCATCTTCTGGCCTTCCCCCAGGCCGCAGCACTCCGGCGCTGGCCTGGGAAGGCGGGAGGGCTCTTCTGTCCTCCAGGTCGCAGCGCTCCTGCGCAGGCCCCGGGGAGGTGGCGACGGGCCTCCCTGGGGCCACAGTGCTCCGGCACGGGCCCCAGGGAGGCCGGTGATGAGCCGCAGAGTGGAGAGCTGGGGGCAGGGCTTGCTGCCACTGCCATTTGTGGCAGGTCCTGGGCTCCCAGAGCAGCGCTCCGGCGTGCTCTGGCCCCAAAAGACCCCTGTCCTGTCAGTCCCCTGGCAGTAAACCCAGCAGTAAACATGACCCCTGAACTCAGGAAACAAAGGAGCTCTCCTCTTCACGAAAATATCTAAAAGCTGTTTACGGGGACAACGCCTGGTTGGCAGCTGCTGAAAGGAGACTCCTTGGGGAGGCAGACACATTTGATGTTGGAGTCTTGAAGGAAACTTGAAGGCCTCTCCATATTGACCTGGAAGCAAAAGACAAAACCAAGTAATTTAAGCAAGAGCATCCATGTAAAAGCATTACAAGGCCGGTGATGAAGTAAGATACCTGTTCTCAGTCAGCCAGCTGATCAAGGAGAAAGGGGCCATGCTTGTCCTGATATAAGATAGGAGGCCAGCTACCTCCGAGGCTTCATCAGCTTTTGAGTCCAGGTGTAGTAGAGGCACCCCCAGGTGGGAGCAGGTAAGAAGGATTCCTTTAAGTGGTGGAAAGCTAGTCTCAGTGAGGTTGATAAAAGGGAACACAGGATGTGGCAAATAAAATGCAAGCCTGTGATCTGCCAGGCAAAAAGGGAATATGAGGAGCATATAGCAAAAAACATAAAGACCAACAATAAAGCTTTCTGCAGATACTTTAGAAGCAGGAAACCAGGCAGGGAGGCAGTGGGGCCTTTGGATGACCAAGGGGTAAAAAGATTACTGAAGGATGATCGGGAAATGGCTGAGAAGCTGAATTGATTTTTTTTGCCTCTGTCTTCACTGTGGAAGAAGAGAAATGCTTACCCACTCCAGAACTGCTGATTTCAGGAGGGGTGTTGAAAGGCCTGAGTCAGATTGTGGTGACGAGAGAGGAGGTCCTATGACTGATAGACAACTAAAAAACTGATGAATCACCAGGCCCGGATGGCATACATCCGAGAGTTCTGAAAGAACTCAAATGTGAACTTGTGGCTCTCCCAACAAAAATATGTAATCTTTCATTAAAATCTGCCTCCATTCCTGAGGACTGGAAGGTAGCTAATGTCACTCCCATCTTTAAAAAGGGTTCCAGAGGAGATCCGGGAAATTACAGGCCAGTCAGTCTGACATCAGTATCAGGTAAATTGATGGAAACTGTTATTAAGGAGAGAATTAGTAGGCACATTGATGAACAAAAACTATTGAGGCAGACTCAGCATGGGTTCTGTAAGGGAAGATCTTGTCTCACTAACCTGTTAGTGTTCTTTGATGGGGTGAACAAACATGTGGACAAGGGGGACCCAATAGATGTTGTTTACCTTGACTTCCAGAAAACTTTTGATAAAGTTCCTCATCAAAGGCTCCTAAGTAAGCTCAATAGTCAGGGGATAAAAGGACAAGTCCTTTTGTGGATCAAAAACTGG